GACGCGAGTAATTTGTTGGCCTGCACGCCGAATGAATTATAAATTTGTTATTACTCGGAATACGTGATGTTGGTTGATACAGTTTCGAGAAATCGTTCGACAAACGCTCGATCGTGCTCGAAGCACTTCTTGGAAATATCGGCGAGCTCCAATATCACGATTCACGAAATTATATGGATTGAAAATTTATAGATCGAGATACGAATAATGAGAGAAAAATCCATAAGAAAGAAAAAAACGTTTGCCTTTTATAAGATAAGAATCCAAGTTGTTACATACTGGAACTGGCTCGACGATCGTTTCGCGGGTCGGGAGAGAAGCGTGACCGAAGGCGTGGCAGGGCTTAATTACTACTTAAACGGGAGTCCTCTCCGCCTACTAAAGTATAATCTCATCATAATCCTCGGGGGCTTCTTCCTTCTCGACCCATTACCCTCTCCAAGGTATTATAGTTACGAAGGTTGGCCCCCGGTTAAACGAGGTTAACAGCCACTGGTAAATTACACGTTTGTTTTGAGGCTTTCGCCTTCGACGCAACCGCGCTCTTAATTCATTCGCACGAAACTCCTCTTATCGTTCGAACGATTTATTTTGTTTACTAATGGAAAATTTCATCTTTAATCGTAGAAGGATAATTTCGTATAATTTCTCGATAAGTGCACGCGTGATTCCTTTCTTGTTAACATTTTCGAATACGACAATTTTCCGCTCGATCGTTGGGTTGCGGGGGGGGAAGAAAGTTTCGCTTCGTTTGCCTCTATTGTTTTTTCTCGACGGTACAATCAACGGTGATCAACTCCAAAACGGCGAAATTTGTGGAAAACAAGCTCGTTAACTCGTCTCGCGGGATCAAATGCGATGCCCCATTATTCCATAGATTTTTCTAGAAAATTTTCTCTCCCGATTGAGATTGTTCGAGAGCAACTCGGTCCAATTCAGGATCCCTTTCTTAATTATTTATTCAAGGCTAATTCGTTTACCATCCGATGAGTGGCGATAAATTCGTTACAAGAAGAAGTCCACCATCTGCGGGAGCACGCTCGAAAAGCTCTATCGACGACCGCGTTACGATAAAAGAATAAAACATTGAATAATTCATAACCAGCTTCCTATAATTCTATTTCCAAAACAGGCAATCTCCCAGGCAAATTTTATACACGCCTATATGCGGGCTTCTTGATCCTCTCCCCTCTATCCACTAAATTATCCCCACGTCGAACGAGGGGGGGATGTGTCCATCGAGTATCCCCCGCGAACTCGATCTGATCTGTAGTTGATAACAAGCTTATCTAGATGGTCGGATGATAAGATGAAGCGCGTGGCAAAACTTGGCGTTGGAGCGACGGGGTCGAAACAATTAACCTTGACGCGTGGGTGGTGATGGAAGCATTAAGGGAAATCGAATTGCAACCGACCGATCCGTATCGTCCAATTAAAGCTTCCACGATATCTAAACCGGCATTATTAACAACCCTTCCCTCTCTGGGATACTGCTGGATGAATTGTTATTGGGTAATTGGATATATTGTTAAAGGAGAGAGGGGTGGTGTCGATGACGAGACATCTGAGAATATCTCTCGAGTGCTCTTCATTGTTATTGGATTAATAATAATTTTCTCGCGCTGAAAAAAATTTAATAATCGTTAATAATCGTTGCTCTCGCAACTTACGACGACTTCTTCTCTGCGAGAAGAAATCAATTATATTGGGTAATAATTGGGTAATTGTTACGAGTAAGTAAAAAAGGAAAAGAATTAATAGAATCGGTCGATTCGAATTCTAAAGTGTTGAATAAAAATATTTGAGGCCAAGTATTTGGAAAGTAAGAAGATTATCCCAATAAAACAAAGGTTATTATCTGTGCGTTATTTACTACTAGTTTGTAATGGGTTCACTGGACTTAGTTCCACTGTCGACTTAGAAATATTACTTCAAGTTATTACTTACTTTAGTCAGGAAGAAAAATTACAACAGGTTAAGATTCCATTATTTAAACTGATCATCCAAAATAGATCTCTAAAACCCTTTTTGTAACAATACTTTAATACTCTTTCGTTTTCCATTCTCCCGTGTTATTATTCCCGTCCTTCGCGCACACCTTGCTTGTCCCTTCTTCTCTAAACACTGCGGATCGTTGTCACGATGAAGATTCGAAAGAGGGACGAAAAGGAGGCGAGCAGATGCTCGAACCTTCGACTATTTTTAATTCGGTTTATCCCTTTCGCATCGTTAAACCCCGATTAGTAGAAAAATTTGCGTAGTGCGAAGTGTCCACTCTGTGGGGGAAAAGGCTGCGAAGAAACGGTTAATCTCGTGAGACCGGTTGGAACCGCGGATTTTTAATCAAAATAATTAAAAAGAAGGAGCAACCTCCTCTCCGCTTTCCACGGGGCGATAAATTAATAAACCGAATTAACAGTTGTTGTAACTCTTGTCTGTTACGTTGATGCATGGCTGGACCAACTTCGTTCCGCGATAATAAGATTGTAATTAAAACGCTGCCGCCTTTTATCAACCTTTCTTCGTGGACCAAGGATGGTGGACGTGACTGAACAAGGGGAAGGAACGAGAAATTATCATCGTGATCATTTCGTTCTTTTCTTCCTTTTTTTTTTTTTTAAGAATTGAAATTGTTCGACGAATGATCGAACTCGAGAAATTTAGAGAAGTAATCGGGGAAAAAAATTCTCCTAAATGATGGAGAAAATAATTTTTCTTCCTTCCAAGTTTCTATCTTAAGTGACGAGAACAAATTACGAGTGAAAAGTGAGCAAGTGGGAGAAGTGGTAGGAAAGGAAATAAACGACAAGGCATTTGTATCAAAGTATTTGGTCGAAAATTGAACGGAGACAGTCGATTGAAGGGGAAGATACGCACGTGGATGCGGCCAAGTGCACGGCGCTTCATGCATGCGAGCTTAAATCCGGATTAGACGGATCACCCAGCGGGTGCCTAAACATCGATATAATCGTAGGATCCATTCCTGTCCCTCGGTAGCGGCCTCGTTGATATCCGTTCCTCGCCCATTACGTTCTTTTTAAAAAAATATTATAATTCGTCGTGGATCCGATTAAACGAATACTCGATCGTTCGTTTAAAAACGAAGAAGAAGTGTATCGACAGAGATGTAAAAAAAAAAAAAAAAAAAAGAAAAGTCGTATTTTCATTCAACGGCCGTATTCAAGTAAGAATTTCCTTTGAAATTCTACTACATCTTCATCCATTTTGCACGTCGTGTGCAAAATTCTACGGATTCTTTTTCTTAGACAAATCCGTGTCTAATGACGATAGAAATAAGGGATTGTTGGGAGAATGGAAAAAGTAAGCAAGCTGCGTAGAGGGGCAACAATTTTGCAAAGGGTAGGTGAACATACGTATGGACACCGTGCATCGTCAATTAAAAATAGTCTCTTCCAGAGAAGGAGACGTTCGAGAAAACGTCAAGGAGAGAGAATTCCAATTAGATAGGATATTTATCTACACGCGAGAACCACCTCCGACCACGGCTCAATTACGCATTTTCTCGAACCGGCCAAACGGAAATATAACTGCAATTTCATCGCGTCCAATATCCGTATTTCTTGCAACCGAGCCCGATAAACTTCGTTTCGTTTTAAAATACCAAAGATCCGTTCCTCGATCTCGAAACTTTCCAACAACAAGTTTCTTCTCGAAAATAGGGAGAATTTTTGGTAAACAACGTATTTCCCTTGATCAACGTTACGAATTGCGATATCATTAAATCGCAAACTGCGAAACATTCAAAATTATTCAAAATTCGATGTGATATTTAAAAAAAAAAAAAGTCGTTCCAAGGACTAAAATCTCTCGAAAAATCTTCCCCGAGACCGAGCCATCATCCATCCATCGTCGCAAACTCGTTAAGGGAGAAACTCACGGGTTCACGTCGAAGAAGGGGCTGAGGGGGGGGAGGGGAGTTTGACGTGCAGGGACGATTATAAATTCAAGCTGAAACTTATAATCGTGTTTGTTTTAATTAGAACCGCAGCGTGCGGCTTCGTTCATTTAAGACTCGAAGCCCTCCCCCCTCCTCTTCGTGTTGCAACCAAACCCCCTTCTCCGCGGAAGCCGACAGCCCCCCCTCCTCCGTTCGCCACGACTCCCGTTAATTTCGCGCCAGGCATTAGTACGTTAATAAACCGTTATTTATCGGCGCGCTTCTTCCAAGAACATTTATTTCTCCCTGTTCCAAAGCATTTTCCGCCCGCCGAACGCTAAATCAACCACCGATCATCCCTGCCATCCCCCTCCATTTCGGGGAAGCGGTTTGTTTTGCGAATAAATCCGCCGCCCCGTTTCTTTCTCTCCTCTCTCGCCTCTCTTTCCGCCCGATTTTTTCTCGTTCGACGTGTATAAAAAAGTAGGGACGCATGTTTTTTGTTTTTCTCGAAGATTTGAGGGAAACGAGAGGAGGATTTCTTCGTTCGTTTGGATTTGGGGAGAATTTTTTTCTTTTTTTTCTTTTGATTTGTGTAATTTATTGATCATTACAAGTACACGAATGTAACCTACAATATTAAATTAATCCGGGGGAAGGTTTCTGCCTCGCTGTTCCAGGAGCACGGATCGCGCGGATTTCACGCGGATAGATTTCAAATCCCATCTCGCGCATCGTTCGCTCTAGATTCTCGCTACCATTATTCCGAAGGACTTGGATGAAAGGGGCCATTCGTTCCACGACCCCGAAACCGGTAACACGTCGGATACGAAGGCAAAACGGTGTGTAATCACCGTTCTCGGATTTACGGTGATACGAAGAAGAATGACACGAATCCCCCTGTCCCCTTCCCTTTTTTTTTTATCTCGAATTACTCCAAGTGGCGTTATGCTCCGATTTTCTTGAATCCAGATCTGCTTGAAGAATTGTGCAGGATTTTGAGGAATTAAGAGCATCGGGGGAAAGGAATGTTAGAGGGAATAATAAAAATATCTTGTTGAATGATCTATTTAATTTATAATATATTCGCGAATAATTTGGTATGTTTATTCGTTTTGTATTACTTTTTTTTTTTTTTTCTTAACTATTCTATTATATTTTAATTTAATTATAATTATAATATAGTTATATTTTCTATCATGTATCTTTTTTTTTCAGCAGTTCATTGGTAGACGAGATATCCTGTATGAAACGTACGTACACGTAATATGTAAAAGAAATATATACGATATAAAGAAATATAAGGAATCAGACAAGGACAGATATAAGGTAAAAATTAGAAAATCAGCGCCATCTCCAGAGTGCCGCAAAAGAAACGTACAAAGAAAGGATAGAAGATGGAAAGAGAAGGACAGAGATAAGGTAAGAATATAATACTAACGCCATCTTCTGAATAGGAAAGATAATGCCTTTTTATAAAGGCAAAATCAAAGGATAAAGTAAATTAAGAATTGAAGAGTAGTGCCATCTTATGAATGCCAAAAAATACTTTTTTTTAATAATAATTCAACAGATGGTGGTAACGATCAATTCTTATTCTATTTCTATCCTTTTTTTTTACTATTCCCTTCCCTTTTTTTTATATGTTTATTTCTCGACACTCTGAAGATGGCGTTGAGGATACAATATTTATTATATTTACCCTTTTCTCATTACTTTACGGACATTAGTTCATGAGCGTTCCAACATTTTTGGGATATTTTGTATAAAAGATAAATATTTCTAGAATTAAGTAAACTGTTGAAAAAATTATTTAACATTGAAAAAAATAGATGAAAGAAGAATTAATTAATCTGTGCCAAAAAAAAAAATGTGGTAGATAATAAATGATAAATGTTTCTTATATTTTCTAAATTTAACAAATTTTAGTACCACGAAATACCTATAAAAAAAGAAGTAAGTGAATGATAAGTAGAGGTAAGTATTTCTAGAATTAAAAAAACTGTTAAAAAATATTTAATAGCAGAAAATAGCAGAAACTCTAAAAAGGTAAGTATATAAAATGTATACTCCTGCTATTCACATTCCTTTATCCTGTATATTCCTATGTTCCTATACTCCTACTCTCCACATTCCTTCATCCTGTATATTTCTGTGTTCCTATCCTGCTATTATCCATATACCTTCATCCAGTATATTCCTATGTTCCTATATTTCTACTCTCCATAATCCTTTATATTCCTGTGTTCCTAAATTCCTATTATCCATATTCCTTAACTCTTTAGAATTAAGTAAACTGTTGAAAAACATTTATATACTTTGAAAAACAATAGCTGTAAAAAGGTAAGTAATATAAGGTAAGTAAAGGTAAGTATTTTATAAATAAAATTTGAAAACTTTCGAAAATTTTTGTAAAAAAATATTCAAAATAAACCATACAATTCTATGAATGGAAGAAAATTCCGCGAATTTAACGTTAATATTTCTAAAAATTCTAAAAATTCCAAGAATTTGACGTCATTTCCAAGAAAATTAGAAATTCCGAGAATTTGACGTCATTTCCAAGAACTGCCAAAATTCTTGGAAAAATTCCTCGAACGACCTCCTATCAACTTATGTTCTCCTAATACAAAATCGAATTTTTGGCCAAAACTTTTGCTCGTTCGACTATATGGAAATTTCCAAGAATTTGACGTCATTTCTTGGAATTCTAAAAATTCCAAGAACTTGACATCATTTCTAAGAATTTCAAAGGTTCTGAGAATTTGACGTCACTTCTTGGAAAAACTTTTCAATCGACCTCCTATCGTATCATGTTCTCCTAATACAAAGTCGTATTTTTGGACAAAAATTTTTCTTCGTTCCCAGAAATTTCGATATTCGTCTTTTTGGTTAAATATCTCCCTTATTATTAACGATATCGAAAAAAGTTTGGAACAAAAGTTGCACGGTTTCGAAAGGGGTATATTCCGGTGCTCTCATTTTTTTCGTAGATGGCCCCATAAAAAACTTCTCAAGCACAACTTTATTTTTTTAAATGGTACCATATACTTTTTAAGGCGTCAGTCGATGTACGGTAGTATTTTCTATAAAAAAGTACTAGACCATTTATAGTAAAAAACCATTTTTTAAAAAGATATTGACATTTTTTTATTTTTTATTTTTTAACTTTGTTTATTTTTTAAACTATTAGTTTTTTGCTATGTATAG